ATGAACAAAACCTGTGAATTTTCTCATTCCAGCTGTTGCAAAGGACAATCTCTTCTCTCCTGATGTCCTCTGCCAGTGAGGATGGGGTAGGTATAATGAATGCTGACCAAAGGAAGTTAAACTACAGAACTTAATGTAAAGGCAGAGTACCAATGTCAGGTATGGCAGGTCAGCCATGACTTGTGGTGGTAGGGTCTTGAAAATCTCCAGTGGTGGAGATTCTGACTTTCCAGGCAATTCAATTCAGAACTGCACTAGGAGTGGAAAGAGATTTCAGAACAAGTGAAATGATTTTTTTTTTCCCCACATCCAGGCTGTGACTTGAGTGGGCTGTGCCCTTTGGCAATCCCTCCTTCCAGCTGCTGATGCCCTGCCATCTGATCAGACTCACACCCTCCTTTTCAGCAGGGGGATGCAGCAGATGGACTGTGTAGCTTCAGCTCAGCTCTGGATCTGCAGAGCAGCTTGCAAACAGCACTCAGAGCTGCCACAGGCAATGCTGGGCTTGACCCTATTCTCTGGCTGAGGATCCAAAGACAGCAAAGATACCCTCCAAGCATCCCACCTTTTGGGTCTGGTCTTCTAAATCCTATAAACCACAGCCACTTTGTACCAGCACAACACTGAAAGTACTGGCAGGTGGAAATAGGAGAAGAATTTGCAAAATGCGCGCAAGATATTACTTGATAATTGTATGAATGAAGCACACATGAGCCATGGAGATCCATGGGCTAAAGTACAGTTTATGTAATCGCAAAGTATTTACTCCTTTAATCTGAGCTATCAGAAGAGCCCTGACACTTGGCACAGTGACCCAGATTTACCATGGGTGAGGGAGGCACCCAGGTAGGTGCCTGGCTGGCATTGGCTGATGGATTCTCTGCAGCCTTCACAAAGTCATTAAGTCCAATTAGGATTCCAGGATTTTCCCTCTCCCTTGCACGTGAATGGGAGCAAAGGTCGGTTTGTTGTCTTGTTTAATCATCCCAGTTAAATATCTTCAGTTAGGTGATATGTACTGGGGTCAGTTTGCTTTCCCTGTCTTACAAGTTTTCCAGCATTTTCCTATTACATGCTCCATGCTTTTAGTGGGACTTGTGGATAATATTTAAAGTGGAAAGTTATTCTGAAATAATAAATTACTTTTCTTATGCTGGTGGAGGGTGTATATTTCATTTAAGCAAAGAGATACAAGAAACTTCCAAAACATGTTTGCTCCTTTAATAGCAGTTAAGTCTTGCTGAGTTTTACAGGATGTGTCTGGTTTGGTTACAGACTGGCAAAACATAGTTCTTTTTCGAGTTATTAGAATTCAAACAACCTGTTTTTCATGTTTCAGTGTGTATTCAGCCAGTATTTAAAAGTCTGGCAACTCAGATTTTTTTCTTCCCCAGCTGAAACAGAGGGATAAAGATTTGTCACAAGAAATACCACTTGAGGTGGCATTTTTTTGCCAGTGCTGCTGAAGTTTCTAAGGGTGTAGCTTTGTAATCAATTCTTTTGGCAGGGAGATTGGTTTTAGCCGTCACTGGCCCTGGCTACCTGTTCTTCTCCTTGTGGCAGCCCTTCTGTTACACCAGGAGAGTTGTTTGTGCAGCTGCACTGTGAACTGGACTGCAGAACTGGTCTGGGGGAAAAATAATCCAGGAAAAAAAAAGAAAAAAGAAAAAAAAAGATTGTTTATACCTTGAGCCAGGCAACGCCATGGGTATCACATACCTGTACAGAAGCACAGTGCAGATGAAGGAGGGGCACAGTCAAGGCTTGTTGTAGGCAAGGCCTGTTAGGGTGAGAAAGGGATGTGAACCTGCCACCTGAGACACCCTCTCAAATGAAATATCAGCTGCGAGTGTCACCAGTTCTTGTGTTAACATGCTGCTGCTCGTAGTGCAGCCATGCCAGCCTTGCATCCCTCTCCTCCACGCAGAGCACAGCCTCTGCAAATTCACTCAGGCACAACTCGTGGATGAAATTCATGGGATCATTAAACACAAGGGACTGTGTTGGTGCTGCTGGTGGTAATGCATGAACAACAAAAAGTTAAAAGGGGGGAGAGGAAGGAGAGTAAGAAGGGTTACAAAATGTTTTTTTCCCTTTAGTGGGTAAATTAGCACAGGTAGTCAGTGTATAGTATATATATAGACATTGCCAGCATGCATGAAGTCCTGCAAGTGTCAGAAAGGAAGGTAAAGGGAGCATGTACAGGTTATGCTTAGCAAAACTGAGTTCAAAGTCACAGTAACTTTTTTCTTTTTGAAACAGCTCATTTTGAAAGCCTGGTAGGGCAGCAACTGAGACAGGAGTGTGATCTAATTACTGAAAATCTAATATATTCATTCTTTCCATTAGTTCTAATGCACTTTCCGAGTCCTTTAAAAAAATTGTCTGTTGGAAGAGGATCCTGCATGCTGCATCTTCCCAGCTGAATGCTGCCTAGAACAGAATGTCCAGCACTGTTTGTTTTACTCACCATGCTTTTATTCCTGCAGACTTACGAGGTGCAGAGCGTGCTGGGAAAGGAGGTGGGGTTATTGAACTGCTACGTCCACTCCATAACTAGCCACCCCAACTGTGTTGTGCTGGAGGAAATTGTTCTTCTGGAAGCTGCAGCAAGACAGAGTTGAACTCTAGTCAGCTATTATAGTATTTGTGGACTTTGTAATGTGATTATCTGTTAACTAGTGCCACAGATAATGTATAATGCAAGTGTGATAAGCATTAAGATAGTTTATTAAAACTGTGATTTATAAAGCACATTGTGCTAACACTGAAAAAAAATCTATATATTGTTCAACTTTCTGAACTCTTCTTTTTCTGACCAGTGCAGGATCTAAGAATACAGTTCTTTGTCGTATTTGCTGTTATGTAATGTAAAACATCTTTTTCTGTAAGTTTTGAATGGTTGTGATTTATTTTTAATAATACTGTATTTATTATGTGTCAATGGAAAAAATTTTACTGATATTTTTGAAATAAATACCTTGCTATGGCAGTTGGTTTAAGCTGAGTTTTATCAGTGTATCCGACCTGCTGCAGAACGCTGCGTGCTGTGTCAATTCTGAGTTAACACTTTGCAATAGTTGTATAAAGACAGAGATTTGAACACATATGAAGTTAATGTTTTACTGCTAATTGGTCTCTCAGCAGAGAAGTTGTGTGTTATCTGTAGCTTCCCACAAAGCTGGTGTTTCACTGCAGTTTCTTTTATGGGCAAGCAGCAAACTGCGTTGTAGGCCATGCAACAACCCCCACCCAGGCTGTGGAGACTAGAGACCAGATAAATGCCAAAATCTCCCTCTGTGTGCATTGCAAGAATTAATATAAGAATTAGAGACTGCATGGTTCCCCCCCCCCCCCTTACTCTTTCACAGTGTTTAAAAGCCCCTTAGAGGTCAGAGGAGGAGGAACGAGTGGTTTTAGTGCAGGTCCCATATGTGATTAACCAGCAGAGAAGGAGCAGCACACTTGCCACACTGGTCATTTCTGCAGCTCAGGCCAGTAGTGAAAAGTCTTATGGATGTCACAATTATTAAATGACCCAGCTTTTGAATTCCCCTTTTTTCCCCACCTCCTCCAAGCATTTCAGTCTCTTACCTGCCTCCCTGTAAGGAAAGAGGAGATGACAGCCCATTCCTGTGTAGAGGTCTGTATGTGAAACTGGGGTTGCCCCTTCAAAACCATTCAAAGACTTGAGTCTCTGAGAAAACTGGAGGTGCTTGTTGTCAGGCCATTTTCCTGCCAGTGCCCTAGAGATGCTCTAGGTGCTCTAACACTGCACTACTGAAATTCAGATAAGTTGCCCGATCTTCTGTGACCTGTTCACTCACTCAGCAGTGAGCAGCAGCGTTGCTCTGCTCGCCGCTCTGTCACAAGCAGGGATCAGTGAAAGTCTTTGTGACCACTGGCTCTGTGATGAGCAGCAGTTGCCCACTCTCACTATCCAGGATCAGTGAAAGTGTCCAGCTCCTGCAGTGGGCTGAAGCCTCAGGGTGCATCAACACCTCTGAGACTCCCTACAGAGGTGAGCTCTGGTCCCTGTTATGGAACATGTTAGTGTAGGTGCAACTTTGCATTATCTAGAATGGAAAACCCTTGGAAGTTATTTTTAAACGGGAATTTTAACTAGTGGTATTCTTTTAATGATGTTCTTCTAGTCCTATGCTTTTTTTTTTTTTTTGGCTATAGAATACGGTATTTCTGGCACAGTCCTGCTCACAGAGCAGTCTCTCCCTTAATGTGCAGCTGCTCGGTCCCACCAGCGCCACGGCAACCCCTGACTCAGCACTCGGGCTCAGCGATGCGCTCCGGGGGGAGCAGACTTCGCAGCCACCGGCCCGAGCGAGGGGTCTCACGGTTGTTCCCACCCCTGCATCCCTCTCTGGATGCTTTGGGAACTAACGCAGCGGCCCTCGCTTGCCCTCGCCTCCCCTCTCGGCCCCTGGGACCCCCTCTCCGTGTTCCCCGCCCGTGTCCAGCCCCCTCCCGGGCAGCGCAGCTTTCCCCGCCGCCAGCCCCTGGCTGTCACGACACAGAGCAAACGAGAGCAGGGTGGATTTAAAATGCTTTTCTTTATTCTTAGAAATGCTGTAAAAATTGATATAAAAGGTTGAGCATGCTCAGTCTTTGTTTTTTTGGGGATTTTTTTCCATCCTACTGTCTAAAATACATGGGATTTTGAATCACTTTAACAGATGTACCATAGCTGCATCGGTATGAGTAAAATGTAGAAAAGACGAAAACTACCATTACAAAAATAATTTAAGGGGAGAGAAGAAAAAAAATAATATATTTAGCTTTTTTTCCCTTTTTCGCAAGTTTCGTGGTGAAAGACCCAGGCATCGCTCCACGTCGCTGCCGCATCCCGAGCGCGGCCGCGGGCCGGCAGGTCCCGCCGCGGCTCCGCGCCTCCTGCCGCGCCCGGCCCGGCCCGGGGCGCCGCGGCACGGCACGGCCCGGCCCGGCACGGCACGGCACGGCCCGGCCCGGCCCGGCACGGCACGGCACGGCACGGCACGGCCCGGCAGGGCTCGGCACGGCCCTCTGAGGTATTTATCCACCGTCTCCCGGAGTCCGTCTCTCCGTCCCGCTCCCCCCCGGTTACCGGCAGTCGGTGCCCGAGCCGGGCTGCAGGAAAGAAGCGCTGGGCAGCTGCTTGAAGAAGTGTCGGAGGCTGGTCAAGTCCCGGGTGAGCTGCTCGATCTTCTTGTGCAGCTTCTCGTTCTCGGCCGAAAGCTCCAGCAGCTTCTGCTGCATCTCCTGGTTGCGCCGCTTCGCCTTGTCGCGGCTCTTGCGCACGGCGATGTTGTTGCGCTCCCGGCGCTGCCGGTACTCGGGGCTAAACCTGTCCACGCACTTCTTGCCGCCGCGCTCCTTGCCCCCGCCGGCGGCGGCAGTGGGCTGCGGGACGCCCTGCGCCGGCCCGGGCACGGCGGCGGCGGCGGCGGCGGCCCCGGGGCCCGGCGAGCGGGTGCTGCAGCTGGAGGGGGAGCTGCTGCCCGGCGGCTCGGGGGACGTGGGCGGCGTGGGCTGCCCGCTCAGGTTCATGATGGTCTGGGCGCAGGTGGCGATTTGCGAGGGCAGCAGCGAGGAGGAGAGGTCGCTGTCGCTCCAGTCCGGCTCCTGCTTCAGAGCGCCGCGGGAGGAGAAGGAGGAGGAGGAAGAGGAGGAGGAGGAGGAGGAGGCGGTGCGGGGCTCGGAGCCCAGCAGGGTGGTCATGGCAGCGCCGAGGTCCTTGGCGGGGTCGCGGCCGGCGCCGCCGCCCGGTGGCAAGTACTCGCCGTATTCCCCGCCCCGCTCGGGCTTGTGGTTGCTGTTGAAGAGGTCGGCGAAGAGCTCGTCGTTGCAGAGCTCCAGGTTGGGCACGGCAGACATGGAGTCAATGTAGGAGCTGAAGTCGATGGCGCTCTCGTCCTCGTACATGGCCGGGGCGGCGGCGCTCAGCTCCGCCAGGTTGGTGCCGCTGCCCCCCAGGCCGCCTCCCGCCTCCTCGCCGTTCATCCCGCAGCCGCCGCGGGCCCCCGGCTTGCAGGCGGGACCCGGCCCGCCGCCGCTGCCCACCTTGGCGTCGTAGAAGTTGGCGGGCTCCAGGCACCAGCTCTTATAGCATGCCGGGGAGTCCAGGCTGTAGAGAGCGGCGGCGCTCATGGGCGAGCGGGACGCGGCGCCGCACGGCCGCGGCGCGGGGGCTCCGGGGCGCGGGCACCAAACGCGGCTCCGCCACGGGCGCAGCTCCAGCCTCTGGCACGGGCAGGTGGGAGCGGGGCTGCTCCTGCTCCTGCTGCCGCTGCTCACACCGCTGCCGCTGCTGCCGCTGCTGCTGCTCGGTGGCACCGGCGCTGCCGCTGCAGCCCCGCCGTCGCCTCCCCGAGGGGGCCGATCCGGGCTCGGGTCACGCCGTGAGCGGCGGTAGGAGGCGGGGATGGGACAAGGCGTCTCAGGACCTGGGAGTGAAACGCCCGCTCGGTCCCTTCTTATACGGCGCGGGCCCCGCCTCCTGCCCCAATGACGGGAACGATGTTCCCGGCACCCCCGGGGACCCGGGGGCGGGAGCGGGTGGGGTGCGTGGCCGCGGAGGCAGGGCTGCCGCCGCAGCGAGCTGCCACCTCCCGGCCGAGGGTGGCCGCCGTCCGAGGTGCCCCCACCACGGGCACGGGACGGCGCGGGCGCCTTTCGGGAGCCTGCCGCCCTCCCCGCACCGTCCCGTCCCGGGGAGCGCCGCCCCGGCACCGGCACCGGCACCCCATTGCCCCGGCTGAGCGCTGGTTTTCCCTTTCCCCTCGGGCCGGCGGAAAAGCTGGCTGAAAAAGCCGATTTTACCCCGCCGCCGCCACCAGCACCACGCTGCATCCCCCCACGCGCTTCCCGGCGGCGCCTGGGATGGAGCGGTGCGGGGAGGATGCTGCCGGCCCCACGCGTGTCTGTGCGCATCACCCGAGCGCCCTCCGGAGGCTCAGCTCCCTCCGCTGGAGCACGGGCAGCTTCCCCCGAGCAGGATGTAAATCCCCCGCCCCGGGGAGAGGATGGACACTTGGGTTTCTTCTGGCAGGACCCTCTGGTGGGACAGGGGTCTCTGAGGCATCTTTAGCTGCCTCACGCCGTCATGAAGTTATGCCTCTTAAAACCTTACATTAAGTTATTATGCATGTTGTTGTCCCCTGCCCCCCCCTTGCATCCCACAAACTACTACTAATAAATTGGCAAGTACCAGAAAACTGAAAATACTTGCAGCTAAAAGATAAGTTTTCTAGTTACATAATAGTTTCTAAAACCCTGGTTCCACCCCCAGGTGCTCCGCTGACTGAATTACTAAAGAAACACGCAACAAAATGCCCTTAAATTTACTTTTTTTGTTTTTTTAATTATTTATTAATTTATCTTCCAGAAGACCCTTCTATATTAAGATAGGACTGTCCGAGGCGCCGAGTTTCCAGCCCAGCACCCAGCTGACGCTGCTGGCACGGAGCTGTGCCCGGCGGAGCGCGGTGCCGCTCTCCCGAGGTGGCTTTGGGGACCGCCCGTGGGGACGTGCCGGTCATGCCGGGCCCGCTGCCCTTCTCCGGGCAGGGCTCCATCTGCCGCCACCGCAGCTGTTGCAGGACCGCAGCTGTTTATCACAGGGGTGTGTGTTTTAACATAAGTAGCTGGGAACAAGACTGGTACATGCTCTCCCTTTGGATGTAAACTCCACGTGGGAAGGCTTGTGGGATCAGGGTAAGGGTGCAGTGCCTGGCAGGTGGGGTTTTACATCTGGCAGCTAAGGTTTCGCTTGGAGAGGCTTTGCTTTTAACTCTAGCGCTGCCAGATGTATTATATATTATATATTGATTTCCTTTCTCATCAGAGGACTGATCACACAACCTCCATCGACACCAGCATTAACCACTGAACTTAACAGTGACACAAGAAATGGTTGCTTTTGTTTTTTCCACATTGTCAAAGAAATAATATGTCCTGTCCCAAACCCTTTTACATGTTATTTTTTGCCTTCTATGTACCCCAGACCTTCTGTGGGGTCTGTTCATGATGCACAACTCTGCACCAGCTGTCCCTGGCCTGGCTGTCCAGCAGGGAACATGGTGCTCCAGGACCCTTTTACTCTGTATGAAATGCAGAGGAGTGGGTGCATGAGACATGGGAAGGTAGCTAGAAATGAGATGCAGTCTGATATCTGCTGTCTCTCCCCTTGCTCTGCTGGAAGGGGTGAGATCTCACCCATTATAGTCATAAAATTATGTTTTGTCCTGGAAAGCACTCATTTAACTGTTTGCATGCAGAGCTGTCTCACACTTCCAGCTCAGCACAGTCCTTACCCCAAAGGTCAGCCAGTGCTGGCATGCCACTGTGCCAGCCTGAACATGCCTATTTAATGCCCATCATGTGTTCCTCCAAAAAAGACACCGAATTCCCAGCCAGGTCACCCGACCCCCGCTGGGCACCTTGCCTCCTGGCAATTACATTCTCAAAATCCCCCGATAGGAGGCCCAGAACTGCTGTGTAAAGCTCAGTACAAGCCATCTGTGTCACACCTGAGCCCCACCACAGAGGGTGCAGCATTGCCTGCAGGGTCTTCAGGACCTGGAGGTGCGTTCTGAGCTCGTGGTTGGACCTGTCAATGCCTGTCCCTCAAACCCAAGCAGCAGGAGCCACCCCCTGGAGGATGAGCTGGTTGTGTTTGTTGCTGGGCCTGGGATGTGTGATTTCAGGAGAATGTCTGAGGGGGTTCTCCCAGGTGCCATGCAGGATGTGGAAGCCCAGGGTGCTGCAGCACCTGCAGTGAAGCATCCAGGAGCAGGTGAGCAAGTGATACCTGGCACTTAGCAAAGCAGTGCACTGGAGGCAGGCATTTGTCTGGCATCTCAGCAGCTGAATCTGTCCCCATCTGTACATGTAATTTCATGAGCAGAGAAGTACAGACAAGCCCTTGATTTCCCTCATCTGTCCTGCTGAGTGCCTGACCCACCGAGTCACAGCTTGTCTCTGGGGTCCAGTCCTTTTAAACAGCATTAAGAAGCAGGTGATCTTCTGAATTTCAGAATAAATTCTTTAAAATTTTCTTGAGGTTCATGCTCCAAATTAAGGAAAGTATTTAAACCTGGCAAGAAAGGGCAAGAAACCTTTCTCTAAGAAGCAGAAAAAAGATAAACTTACTTTGCTGGCTGTGAATCTGAGAAACACCATGACCCTGACCCCTTCAGGGATAGCAGTTAAATCACACTGTTTTCTGACAGGATTTTCCTCATAAATAGAGGACAGGCCACTCAGGGAAGGTAAGGAAACAGGGTAATCCCTCAGCATGCTCACCTCCAGCAACCCAGCCAGGCATGCAGGACCTTTTGGGACAGTGGGACTAGGAGCGTGGCAAGGCTGTGCCTGGGAAGCCTGAGGAGCCCTTCCCTGCTTTTGATGATAGGACTTGAGACAGCACCTGCAGGACCTCAGGTCCTGGGGTATTCATGGGTGAAGACCAAGCTGACAAGGGGAGAAAGATGGAGGACTGGTTTGCTGGGTTTCTGCTCCCTGCAAGAAGCAGCAGGAGTGCATCCTTACATTCATCAGCTGGAAGTCAGCAACGGCACATGGAGGCTGACAAGGGAATGGGACATGTAAATGAGGAGGTACAAATTGTCTGGGGAGAGTCAAAAAACCTGCCTGCACACTCCTAGGGAGGAGCAGTACCTGCCTGAGGTTGGTGCTGGCTCTTGCCAGCCAGCACAGTGACTGCTGGACAGCCACCTCTGCCAGGGCTCGTGCCCCTGCCTTGTCCTCAAACACCGTCACAGCATTGCGCTTGTCACTGGTACTGTCCTTGTGCAGCATTGCACTGATCCTGCCTGTGGCCTCCCTACTCTTAGCAGCTGAAGCACTTGATGGTAACTGAAAGGATTTTTCCTTTTAGCTCCTTTAGTTGAAGCTCTGTGTTTTGTCTTGCTGCAGGCTTTTAAACCCCAGCGATGCCAGCCCAGGTTGGGTTTGTCCAGCTGCACCTGTGGCTGCTGAGCTGCTGAATAAGATCATCCACATACCCAGGCTCCCAAAAGGCCAAGTGCTACTGCAGCAAAATGCCTCAGAACCTGTGCTCCTTGTTTTCTCAAACTCCCTGGTGGATACTCAGAACTTTTTCCTGATACAGGTTTTGCATGGATTTCCATTCATGTGATCAAATTGACAGCTACATCTTCTGTGTAATTGAATGAAATCTTCTGTGCTATAATTTACTGTAAGTGTAAAGGACAAATAGAGTCAATGTTGCCCTCTTCTATCCCATCAAAAAGATTAAGAAAAACCCCACCCTGTAAATAATGTGGAAACTGTAACCAAAACTTTTCCAGTCCCTTATGGCCACTCCTTCATGTTATCAGAATGCTTTGGGTTGGAAGGCACCTTAAAGATCATCTAGTTCCAACATCCCTGCCATGGGCTGGGCCAACTTCCACTAGATCAGGTTGCTCAGGGCCCCATCCAACCTGGCCTTGAGCACTTCCAGGGATGGAGCATCCATGCCTTTTCTGTTCCTGTGTCTCATCACTCACAGGGAAGAAATTCCTCCCAATATCTAATATAAACCTAACCACTTTCAGTTTAAAACCATTGCTCCTTGTCCTGTCACTACAGACCTTGATAAAAAGTCCCTCTCAGTCTTTCCTGCAAGCTCCCTTTAGGCACTGAAAGGCCACAATAGAGTCTCCCCAGAACCTTCTTTTCCCTAGGCTTACAACCTCTCAGCCTGCCTTCACTGGAGAGGTGCTTCAACTCTGATCATCTCTGTGGCCCAAAAGACTTCCCAACTTTTTTGCAATTAGAGAATACCCCTCTAAACACCCTATTCTGGACACATCTTCATTTGACATAAGGCTGGTGGCTCTTTGGTAGTTTTGCTACAAGGCCAGTGACACCACTTGGTGCTGTGGGTGTCTGCCAGGGTGTGAGCTCTCTGCAGTGGTGCCATTTCTTACAGGCAGCAGAACTCAAAAATGAAATTTTTATAGCCCATGTAATTTCCAAATGAGGCACAGTATTAACAAAGTGACTCTGCAGACTCTCAGCCACAGGGGGGAAAAAAAGCAGAGGTAATAAATCCTTATCCTTGATTTTGAAAAACAAGAATTTTGGGGAGAAGTGTCTCTATATATAGATGCTTACTTTTGGAAGCAGCTGGCCAAGCCCTAAGTGTGAGACCAGAAGAGCTGTAGGAAATTCCTTATTCCATGTCTGAAGACGAGCCCAATTCATTGTTTTTGTGGAAAACTCTTACCCTCCTTCCTGTGCCCAAATGTGTGCTGGTGCTGTATCACCTCTCAGCCACAGAGACCTCAAGATAACATTTAAACTGGGGGGCAGTGATGGGGACTAAGAGGGAAAATCCCAAGCACAAGAACAACATGCAGAAACCTCTCCATCAGCTGGA